GTAAGTTAGAGAGCCCATTCAAAACTGGGCTTATAAGGGCCCAAAAATAGAGCATCCAAAGTAAAAATGGATGGCATGTGTTTATGTGAGCTAAGTCCAACGGAGTCCGAAAAAGGATAGCTGCATTGAATCGCTTTCCTCCCCAATCCAAATAAAAGGACATCTCAATTGCGAGGCGCTTAACGAGTGGCTGTTTCATGCAGTATGGGGGCAACCAAAATATTAAGAAAATAAAATGAAATAAAACAAACTATTTATAATGGAGCAGTATATACTTACCACCAAAAAGTTTACCACTTTTACAACCAACCTAATCTCCGTTGATTTCCATCAATCTAATTGTTATAATTTATTGGATCGCATTTATTAGCTATTTATTAATTTTTAATAAATTCAATAAATTATAACTGTTAGATTGACAGAAATCAACGGAAATTAGGTTGATTGTAAATGTGGTAAACTTTTTTGGTGATAAGTATATTCTTCCCCATTTATAATTATATAAAGGTTAAGGGTTTCTTTTGTTATATAAGGTAAAATTATCTTATAAGTTTCTTTTGTCGTAAGTTTCAATCTTTTGACTTAAACCTCATTTTGCTATTCTGCTATCCTTTTCTGCGAGTATTGGTCTTATGGAACTTCCTTCACTTCTAAAAGGCAGAGATTTACTCCTACCTACCACCCTACCAGATGTTTCGGTACCCTACTCATAAAGAAAAATTTTTGGGGAAAAAAAGGAAGCATGTTTATCCATATATATTTGCAATAAAACAATGTACATGGGAATTGGATGGTTTAATGTTCATGTAATTGAGAATCTTCTATTTCTTGATAGTCAGGGCAACATATATCAGGGGCTTGAATATTTAACGTGCTGCTGTTATTCTTAAGCTTGTTGTTTTTGAATTACAATTTAAAAATAATGCTTAGTTTGACTAAGTATATGTAAAACTAAGCATAATTACTAGTATATCTTTTCTGACCCATAGATTCTGTTGTCATCATTTCTTTTAAGATGAAAGTTCTCATAAATTAATGCATCTTTTATATATATATATATATATATATATATATATTTATATTAGTTTCCAACCGGTACATCCTTCAGACTACATCCGGTTCGAGCACTTATCAGACCCTATTAAAGGAGCAGCTCTCCCAAATTATTTTTTTCATTCCCACAGTTCGAACTCAAAATCTCTAGTTAAAAGGGACAGACTCCTTACCATTTGTGTCGAGGGTGTTTGGTTTGGATATAAATATTTTGAGATATAATAAATAAATATGTTCTCAGATTCTCTAAAGTGCAGAATCACTTTATGCAGCAAAGTGCATAGCTGATAATCGTTAATGTAAAAATCAGTGGCTTAGGTTTTTAATAAAATGCAAGCACCTGTATAACAAATCACGAATTTTATTACAAAAAAAATAAAAATAAATAAAAATCACGAATTTGTGAGAACCCCCTCCATTGTTTTTCTCATCAGCAGCAACTAGTTCTCACATCACACTATAAAGTGCTAAAAGGGGGTCCAATTCTAATGATCTATGGTGATCAAATCACCATAGGCACCCCACAACTTTCGTAAATTTGTTAGTAATTTCCAATTAGTCATGTTGAACTTTAATTATCAGCACTTGGAAATATTGTAGTTATGAAGTTAAAACTAAGAATGTTGTTCATATTTCAATACAGCTTTGCTTTTTGACCTTGCAAAATGTGGCATGCTGAATTTGCTAGACAAACAAAGACTAGTCCATGAGATTGCTCAGCAGTCAAAAGATGCCCAGAATATGCTTCATTCCTTTACTCGCAGAGAGCTTCTAGACATAATCTGTGCTGAAAGTTGTCTTCCATTCAAAGTTCAAACTAAGAATATATGAATGGGAACAATTATTGCGCATGTGGCATGTGCTTTTTGGGACCATATAATGAATCTGAATGTTATATAGAGGTAGATAAGAACGTTTGCTGGCTTATTTTGAGAAATTAGCAAGCCAAGTAATTAGCCTTAGTACTATTAACTGATGTTTAGCATACTGTAATTATGCTCACAACTCTCTTGGTGGCTTGGTGACACAACTTGTGTCATTTCACACTTACAAAAAGATGAGACGCATTCCTTTATTTTTTTTGTTCACTCTTTTTCTCTATGACCTATCTCTTTTTCTCATTTAAACTGATATAATTTTTTTTTTTGATAAATAAAAATAATATAATTTTATATCCTTTAAAATGAGATATACTTTTCACCTTTTGCATTTATCCAATTCTTCGTTAGGAAATGAGACTTTGTCAATTTGATTGGATACTTAGATTTTACAGGACATGGCGAAAGCAGTTATTGGCTGCCAAAGAAGCCAGAAGAGTTGATGTACTCTCTTTGCGAATATCCTTGGCTCTCAGAATTCTCATAGGAACACAAATATATAAGGAAGTACATAAGATTGTACAAACTGCTCTCAAATTACTGAAGAACGAAGTGGGGCCAATGGATCAAGAATGTTCCTGGATGACACGTGGAATTGTGAGCAGGCTTTCATCTGGTGTTGAGGTTCAGAAGTTGTGTTCTGTTGCAGTTGAATGTTTTGATTCAAAGTTTTCTAATCTTTGCTCTGAAAGATGCACCAAGCAAGAATATACATATATGTGTATCTATAATATATAAAAAACAAAATTATATATATTAGATATATTAAAGGTCAGCACAGCTCATTGAGCTTCTAATTGCAAGACAAGACCAGAAAATGTCTGATTTTCATGTTAACTAAATTTTAGCTCAACTCATTTTGCCCATATTATTTATTTTGGCAGCATGCTCTATACGATTTGAAGAGTGCCTTCCTACCTCAGTGGTCATTGTGCCTGAATACAAAGATAAACTTTTACAGAATTTTTTAGGTTGCAGGCTTTGGCACCGGATATACCAACAATGGAGTGAATGGACTACCCTGTACAACCTACCTTTATTACCTTTATTCCTCAACTCCATGTTGCAAGGTCCGCATAATATCATTACTAGCTAGGTTTTCTCCTAACCATTGGTCACGAACATTTTACATCAGGTCATTGTTCTAGTATGTGCCAGAAACAAATTTTGGGATCACTCTCCATTCTCTAACAAAACTCATAATTATGCATATTCGTTACCAAAAATAAAAATAAAAATAAAAATCATAGACCCATATTTTAATATGCACAACATCTAAAAAAATTTAGGGTTCCATTTTATTCATTCCATGAGTATATATATATAAAAGAAAGGTTTTAGTTAGTTTTGCCTTACAAAATCAGCCAGCAATACTTTCAACAGAAAAGGACTTTTATAGCTTCGGTTGAACACTGAATGCGATCTTGTGAGACAAGTCAGTAACCCACAAATCCATTCTAAACTACTAAATTTGACATTTGTACCAAGTACCAACAAAAAATGCAACTACAAGCTAACTTTAATTGCATTTAATGAAATTTTTTTTTGTATTATTTTAACATATACACAGAAACAGAATCCTCTCATATTTATTTTAACATATGAAAAATTTTAATCATTTATTAATAAATGAACTATCATCAATTAAAATAGTTCTTTTCCCTTCTCTTTTTTAATTATTAAAATTATGGCTATTAATATGTTTATTTATCACTGAGATTTTTCATATTAAAATAAAATGTGAGAGATTTCATTCACATCTTGCCTTTTTTATATACTCACAAGTTATATGACCATACAGTAATTTTGATCTACTATATCACTTAATTATATCTCGATAAATCACTAAAAATAAAATTTTAATTAGTTGTTAAAATCACACTTTTTTAATAATACGATAATACATTATAATTGATACCATAAATATCCTTTATAATGGCAATAGAAAAATATTAGATTCAATATATTTTAATCTTAAAATATTCTTCATGTTAAATATATTATAAAACCATTCAAAGAAGTAAATCTTTAAGTAAATGTTATTTATAGGTAAATTATTTCAATAATGTCATTCCATATGATAATAAAAAAATTTATGAGAATTAACAAAATTTATAATTTACCCGTATTTCCAAAAAGTTAGTATATAACAGAATTTTGTAGTTACATGTAATAAAAAGACTACAATTAATGCTGAATAAAAATTAAATCATTTAAAATAATCAATAGGCTTTAATTTTATTCATGAATATTACTCTTTCAAACTAATAATAATAATGATAAAATTAATCCTAATTCTTCACAATCAATCATACTAGTCACTAACAAAATAAAGTATTAAATATTTTCATATTCTTTAAGATATTAATCATATGGTTTAATATTTTTATTTTAGACACATAAAAAGTTTATCTACCACATTCACGTATAAAAGTAAATGGATTCCATTATAAAGGAAAGAAATAGATAGAATTAATGGGATCAACTCATTTTTATGTGAATGTGACAGAATTTTTTTTTTTACGATAAAAACAGAGACATTAAACCCTTAAATTTTTTTATTTGATACGATCTCCTTAAATACTAAAAATATTAACAAGATATTTTAAAAAAGGTAAAATTATTTATCAAAAAATAAAATGGGCCTTATTTTTTTTTATCAATGTGACAGAAAGCAAATATCTGCCGCAGCTACATAAAAATCAAATTCTTTTAAAAAAAATAAAAATAAATCTGGGAGCGTTTATTACTACTCCTTTGAATTTATTGTCACTTTTTATTTCATTAAATTTTAATAACTCTGTAATTAAATATATTGGGTAAATTTATTCACTCATTTAGATTTATTTTTGTTACGGGTTAGGGTTGAGAAGAGAGAGATGTGTGCATCTATTTACTCATAATTCTATAGGATGGAGTATCCACCGTCCGATCAAGGTAAAGACCAAATCAAGTAATGAGGCATTGGATCGAACGGGTTTGATTGATGAGGTTTTATTGGCTACTATGCACATGAAAAAAGAAACGCGTTCCACTCACTTTAATAGAATCAGAACGGCGCAAATACAGGCATTGGCGGCACTGTATCGTACACTACAGTACAGTCAGTACACACCAACTTTCTCTTCTCCTTCTTCTCACTTCACATACTTGTGAACCAAACACACAGAGAGACACACACGCGCACACACTCTCTCTGTCTGCATATTATCCTTGCACACCAATTAGGTTGTAACTACTCTCCAATTCGATCCTTCTGGAACTGTCACTGTCGGGGCTATGCCCACTAACGAAGACTTCCAAGGTACTCTTTCTATTTTTCCATTTTTCTATCAAATTAAATAATTCAACCTAAATCTTCTCACAATTCTCTTAGCAGTTGCTTCTCTGTTTTTATTTTTTATTATCTTTAAATATCTGTTCTGTTTGATATAGATGGTTTATTTAGTTGATTGGAGTATTTATTTTTATTTTTTTGAGATGAATCTTGAATGACCCACTCTGAATTTTTTTTTTGTTAGCTTTTGGGGATTTGACAAAAGTAAAGAGTTACTTTTGTTAGCTTTTGCTGAATTTTTCTTTGATTGTTTTGAATGAGTAGATAAATAAATAAAAAATGTAACTTGAATAGAGATGTATTTTAGGACTCCTAGGAAGAGGATTTTAGAACGGAAAAGTTTACCAATTTGGTTTCATCTAAGGTGTCAATTGTTTGCTTACTAAAAAATTCCAACTTTCATAGGGCATATAGCAATTTGATCTCTTTATTCTGGACATTGATTAGTAGATAAATGAAAGGTAGATTAATCCTGGCTTATTTGTGATGCTACTTGTATAGTTAGAGATCTTGATTTATGCTAATTATTTACATGCTTTTTGGATATGCATGTCAGGTGTTTCAAATTGTTATGTGTTCAAGAGCCGTTTGCAAGAGTATGCTCAGAAGGCGGGAGTTTCAACACCTGTCTATGAAACTATCAAGGAAGGACCTTCCCATGAACCTTGTTTCAGGTCAACAGTGATAGTGAACAATGTTCGGTATGATTCTTTGACTGGATTTTTCAACCGTAAAGCAGCAGAGCAGTCAGCTGCAGAAGTTGCTTTGGTTGAGTTGGTCAAATCTGGTGAAGTTAATCAATCCATCACTCAACCTGTTGTAAGTATTAAGTAGTCTTTACCATATTTAAAGTATAAACTTTTGTTCTCAGCGGTAATTGCAATGTCTGAGTAGAATAGTTGATTATTTTTACATTGCTTCATCTCATTGGTATATTTGGAGTTTTCTTTTTGGACAAATTCCTGCGTTTTCTACTTTCATGAATGGTTATCTTCTTGCCATCTTTATGGTGATTAGCCAATGGTTACTTTTCATGGTATGCAGCAGGATTGGTGGACATTGCCTTGTTGATGTAATTGATCTTTGTTTCTTATTTTTTATTTATTTATATTTTTTCATTAAGAGGACGCCTTATGTCCTTCTGCCTTTGTACCCTTCTGCTCCTTATATATAGAATTTCTTCTATTATCTAAAAGAGATTTCTCCTAAATGTCCTTCTGATAAATATTTCTGCTTATTTTTTTATTTTTTGTATATAATGCTGTACTTTATAGCTCTCTCTACTGTGAGAAATAAATTCTTCTTGGAATATGTGGATTTTAGGAAAGGAAAATACCATTTTTATTTCTGTACCCCTGTAGTTGAAGTCATATTATTCTTTCCTACTCATGCATGAATCACCCTATAGACCATGTAAAAATTACGTACAATGGAATGAAAGAGAAGGGTAATTGATTGAGACCCAAGACCATAATGCTTTTCTCTTGTTTTTGCTTAACTTATGTTGACCATCTATACTGCATGCCTATCACCACCACTTTGTTGTTGTCCAGTATGACTATGAGCAGAAATATAATTGTTGCATTTCGTACATGGAAAATGCTAGATAGCCACAATTTTTTTTGCCATAATATTGTACTGAGCGTGTTGATTGTTTATTTACTCTTGGATGGATAATTGGTGGCTGCCCCTTTATCTTATCCAACAAACTACCTATGAATCTATCTGTATTATTGTCAAGATTCTGGCTAATTTTTTTGAATTTGTAGCATTACTCTTTCTAGATTGCTTTTTCACCTGCCTTCTTATCCAATTCTTGAAATATGTGTTGTTATCTGATCTAATGCTTTAATAGCTTATGACTTTGTTGCTCAATTTATCTAAAGTTTTCTTTATTGTATTGTCTCTAGAGTGTCTAAAGACTCTGTGTTCTGCATTCTTGTCTTTTACGGCTGTATGAGATATTTGTATTTGCTTCCTCTGACCATGTTCATGGTGTTTCTTTCAGCATGAAACTGGATTATGCAAGAATTTACTTCAGGAATATGCACAGAAGATGAATTATGCAATGCCTATGTATCAGTGCAAAAGGGATGAAACACCAGGTCGAGCATCAGTATTTACATGTACAGTTGACATTGGGGGGATTCTCTATATTGGGGGAGCAGCAAAAACAAAGAAAGAAGCAGAGATAAAAGCTGCTAGAACTGCTTTATTAGCTATCCAGTCAAGTGCATCTCATTCTTCCCAAAACCAGTTTGGTCAATCACAGTTGACAGTCATTCCATGCAGAAAAAGGGCAATAGAATCTGCTGCCCTTCCTGATGAGACTTCAAATACCCCAAAGCCTAAGAAAGCACGATTTAAAAGGAAATCTTCAAAAAGGAAACTCTCTAGAGGTAAGATGGGCCATATTCATGCTGAAAACTTGGGCACCGGGGCAAATATCAATCATGAGGTAGAATCACATGCAAGTGTTAATGATGAGTCCTGCGTCCAGGAAATGAAATCCGAAGCATTCACTTCAGAAGCCATGAAGAATTTTGAGAATGGAATATCGGTTGATTATCACGAGAAAGAAACATTGGCTGGTGAGGGTTCTTTAGCTCCGAATAGCGAAGGGATTTTTGAAAACGGGAAGTCAACAGAATTGCATTCCAGAGAGAACAATCTTGGGATTGTTGCTACAGAACTATCTTCTGTGCCTAACGGAGACATACCGGAAATGAGTGTGGAGATGAACAAACAGCAATATAATGTAGAAATGGTATCTGACAAATAATTGTATTGTGAGTTGTTTTGAGGCTTCAAGTATTAAATGATTACAACGGAAGAAAATATCCAAGCTGGAGCAGACATTTATTAGGGTTAGGAAACCTTGAGGATTCCAACATTTTTTCTTTGTTGGGTGTCGCTCAGTGACAGTAAGGAAAGTAGAATATAGACAGTGATATGATTCAAAGCAAGTTGATAATTTTTATCAGTTAGCTGGTGTTTCAGACCATTTATGTATCGTATTGTATTATTATAATTTATATTTGAGCTATCTGCTCCATTTGTCCGCAACATGGGACATGAGATTTGGATATGTAGTTGACAACTTATCAGGGAAAAAGCATTTTATATATGGCTGAAAAAAACGCATTTTCATTTTATATTCATAAATATGTAATGTGTTTAATAAAGAATCAATGAATGTATTAGTAGTTGAAAATGTAGTCTCGCAATGAATGAACTAATCAATAACGAGAATTTAAATTATTTAAAAAGCATGCTATGTTGTAAACATTGCCTGGAAACAAATTTATATGAACATTACTCCTTTATGCACTTTCTTTTTTATGGGAATATGAGTCTCCTATTGCTGGAAAAAAGAAAAGAAAAATCTCTCATTTTAAAGGTTAAAATGCAAGGAACATTCTTTTCTTATACGTCAATTTAAAAAATAAATAAAATAAATTCATGTTTATCAGTCCCTCTGTTTAGCCCAAATGGGTCCTGGGCCTTAAATAAAATAAAAGAGTGACAAGCCGTGGGGAGAGTAGAGGAGAGGAAGTGACAGTGGCTAATCTTAGTAATTACTCTGGATAGCACAATCGTCGCTTTTTCTACACGTTTGCACTCATTTAATTACCTGAGTTAAGTAGACTTAAATCTATGTTTCAGAACCAGACAATGGTAGCTCAATTGGCGCTGGAAAATTGAGCAGTTGAGGATGAGAGCATGCGTTCGATCCTCTCCAGTACTGTTTTTGGGAGGAATTTAAAGTCTTAATCCCGGGATCCGCCCCGAATCGGACTAATCACGAAGCGATGAACAAATTGGAATATCTCCAAAAAAAAATTATGTTTCAGAACTTGTGAATCTACCATAAACTGTTTTTCATTAGTGCGCATGTGTTTGTGAAAAAGGATGAAATTGCAATGCTAGGAATAATGTATTGTTTTTTCATGCATCTTGCTCACCAAATGTTATAAACAAGATTGATTTGTCCAATCATATTTGTTTTATTCTTGAGTTATGTTCTATAACAACATTGCCATCTACCAGCCTTATGTTTTTTCATGCGAGCCTTAGATGTGTACTTCTGGTATTTGACAAATACTGTTTTTGTCAATAATCAATTGGCTGCTACCTTTGAAGCACTCTACTAGATTCTGATGGAGACAAACAACCCAATATATATCATTGCATGTATTTTAAAAAGGACCCTTTCTGGTGCTTGACATGGTCACATTCCATGTTCTATCAAAATATGAACCTGCCCATTTCCTAAGATCTTGAAGGGTCATCACTTATGATGCAATGGCTTTTATCATTTGAGTGTGAGAGAGAGAGAGATATTTCGACAGTGTAGGGAAGTTTGTAGGTCTGTTTTTACTATCCTTCATTGAAGTAGTGGCAATCTTTTTTTGGTTTTCATTCAGTGTTTTTCTTTTTCTTTTTTGGGTCAAATCAACACCATTCTTTAAGATTTTATTTCCTTGAAGTGAATCTTTATTAACTAATTTTATTAGTTCATTTTTGGGTCAGGGTATGAATGGTAAGGTTGATTTGTTAATAAATAGATGACTTTATGGTTTGAAATGCTACCTGATTAGTTCTTTTCCCATGTTCCCCGTTTTATTTCTATATAATGTTGTGCCTTGTTTCTTTTTGTACCAAAATTGGAAAGCTTACTCTTGCAAGACTTTTGACTGCTCTTCATTTGTTATCATCTCTACATGACAAAAGAAAATTTCATACTTCAAGGATCCAATACATTCTCTATACTTTAAGGATGAGCGTAGTTTGATATTACTTCAGCAGGTAATTTACTCTTTTTGGTATTAAATATATGCCAAAGCATGATTCCATACCCCTTTCAATGTTGTTGATACTGATGTGAACAACTGTACCTTTCATTTTTGTTTCTGCTCTCAAATGAGCGTGTTTAACTCTCTGTTTTAAATGAAAAACAGAAACTGGAAAACATGAATAAAAATGTGGTTAATTGATAGGGGTTTAACTGAAAACGAAACACACTGACTAAAACTTGCCCTGACTTTTGGCAAGTTTAGCTTTTGACGTTGAATCTAAAAATGGAAAGGAAGTGTCTCATAAGTCATAATGAATATTTTGACAGTGTTGGAGGCCATGCAACTTCTATCTTGCTTAAATGATTCATAATAGATTTGGTAATTTTACTGCTCTGGGTCCCCTCAGATTGCTCAAGTCACTTTTAAGTGTTGAATATACCATACAATTAGTTAGGCTGTCATTCTATTGACACAACAAAATACCTATGGTCTTCTCCTTTCTTTCATACTGAAGAATTTGCCTGGGACCATTTTGAAATCCTTACCGGCAGCATCAGTGCCACAAATTTTTGGGAAGCTTTCTTGATATTTGAAAGCTTAAACTTGACAGAGTTAAACATACAGGGAATACAGTTGCTGATGAACACTTCAGGCCATTTCTTGTCAAAGTTTTGCCTACACTGAAGTGGATGGATGGTGGAAATTATGTTGATCTATCTTGACTTTTTTGGAATACAGTTTTATCTTTCTGGTATAATGTTATGATACTACTTTCATCCAGAAGATTATTCACTCATTTGGTAAACCTATCCTTGATAAAGGGCATTTTTTTAAAACCCGTTTCGCTTTGGGTCATTGTTGGCATCAGATGCTAAGATTGCTAGCATGGTTATGCAACTAGAAGTGGATAACATTTTTTTCAGTGTCTACACAATTAAAAAACTACATCTCTAATGAGTTAGTTATACTAGCTTTGTGCAAATCTTGCTGCTTTGCCTGACCGATGAAGGAGAAGGCGCAGTTTGTACAATCCTTAAGCATATTTTGTTATGTTCGAAGCACTGCTCACCAACGTAAAAATACTAACACGCCTTGATATGATGTAGAGTAAAATTTTATTTTGGATTGAGATAGCAGAGAAATATGACATCAATTAAAAATAAAAATAAAATTAATGGTAGATATTCTTCCCCAAATTAAAAAATTATTATAGGAGCTCAGAATTTTACCCTTCCTACTGCTAAGAAATCGTTCTTTAACGGATCAACAAGTGTTTTATTCAAGGATTCTGCATCAGAATAATTTCGCCAAAATCATTCATTGCTGCTCATTCTTAATATGCAACTATTGCATCATCTTAACAATAATATTACTAATTAAACATCCTTTGCATAATCAAGATTTTCCAAAAACCAAAGTTTACAAAGCGATCACATCTCAAAACTCATTAACTTTTGATGGCTATGGCTATGATGAACCGAACCTGTTGAGTGCTTCTTGAGCCACAGACAATTGTGGCTCCAACTCGAGAGCCTCCTTGTAAGCCTTCCTGGCTTCCTCTTCCATCTTGTTCTTCTCGTAGCACTCACCTAACAGACACCAAGCTTTCGCGTTTTTCGGACTCAGCTTCACCGACTCAGTCAAATCGGATTGGGCCGAGTCAACTCGGCCGCGTTGACTCACCGCTATTTTCAACTCCGCTCTCTTCAGAAGCGCATCACCTCTCTCGCCGTCGCCGAGGGAGGCGGCGGCGAGCGGAGACAGAGCCGCGTCGAGCGAGTCGAGAGCCGAAGTTCGGAACCCTTGGAGATCGAGAACCATGGCTTTGAGAAGGTAAGATGCTGCGTCTTTGGGATCAAGCGCTATGGCTTTCTCGGCTTCGGCTAGAGCCTCATTCGCCAGCGATTTGGAGCTGGATCGGTTCTTGGGGGATCTGGCTTGGGCGAGGAGCTGAGCGCCTTTGACGAAGTGTCGTTTCGCTTCGATTCCGCGTCGGTTTGTGAAGCGGAGCTTGGCTAACAGCCTCTGGGGAATCCCGTGCATGGCGAGGAACATCAACACCATAAGAAGGATCAAAACAACTTGTAACACGATGTCCCGTACCATTGCTTGTTTCTCGTCATTCTCCATTCACGGATCTGATTTTTATTTTTTTTCCGGTGATAGAAGGTTTGGGAAGAGGTGTTACAGATTGAGAATACAGAGACACTGAAATTGAACTTGACCCTTTGCATAAATGCATAAACCGCAGCCGCCATGCTTGATTGGGTATGGGTCTCTCTTCAACTTTATTTATTTATTTATTTATTGTTAGGAAAAAAAGTTTTCGATGTTATTTTAGATAACTTTGTCGAATGTTCATCGAAACGACGTCGTTTTGGGGTTGAAAAATTAAAAAATTAGAGTGATGAAGACTATTATAATCCTGAAATAAATTAAAATTACAAAAATATCATGATTTCCGTCCTAAAACGACGTCGTTTTGATGAACATTAGATAAAGTTATCTAAAGTAACATCAGAAAAAACAAACCCTTGTTTTAATGGAAAAGGTTATACTTACTACTCTTATTGTTATTACTTGTTACTACTAAATCGTAACCGTTGATTTCCGTCAATCTAACGGTTATAATATATTGAAAATTACTTATTAATTAATAAGTATGACCCAATAAATGATAACCGTTAGATTGTCAGAAATCAACAGTTATGATTTAGTTGTAACAATAAGAGGTAGTAACTATAACATTTTCCTATTTTAATTACGAAAATTCAAAATTGAGAAGTATCATAATAATGTAAATACATTTTTATTTTGTATTTCGATAGAGGATTTCTCCGATCACTAGAGATAAAATTATTTCCAGTGAACTCAAAACGACGTCGTTTTAACACAAAAAATAAGGTATTTTTATAATTATAATATATTGTAATGTTATATTAGTCTTTGTCATTATAATTTTGTAATCTTATAACTCAAAGTTATAAAAACGTTATTTTGAATTCACTAAAGATAACTTTATCTTCCACGAGTAAAGAAATACTTTTCCCTTTTATTTTTAGCTTTCAATTAATGTATGGTTGGAAGTTGGATCGCACATAAAAAAAGTAAAACTCAATACTTACCCATAAAATCGAATGCACAATTTCGCAAAAATAAAAAAAATCTAATGCTCATTTATGTGTACCAAATGATACTGAATACTTGATTTATTTATTTATTTAATACTTATTTTTTATGAGAAAAAGAATGAAAAATCATCTCTTATTTTTTTTTTAAATAAAAGATAAATATAAAAGAAAGGTGTTTAGATTTTAAACGGAAGAATATCTTTACATTATTTGTGTTTAAGAATTTTGTCACTAATTTTTAACAGTACGTTGCTTTTTCTTTTTTATTTAAAAGCGTAGTGGTAATAATTGTAGGTGACAAAATTAAATCTTGAGGGATTTTGGTGAAGACTAAACATTGTAAATTTTTTTAAATGAAAAATTAATATAAAAGAAAGGTATTCAAATTATAAACGTTAGAATATCTCTACTTTATTCGTGTGTAAGAATTTCGTCACTCATTAAAACTACGTTGTTTTTTTATTTAAAAAGAAGCTATATGTAAATTATAGGAAACAAAATTAAACCCATAGGTACTTTGGTCAAGGCAACTTTAAGCCGTGTAAATAGGGCAGGTTAAGGTGCTGTTTCAACTTTCAACTTTCAAATTTAACAACTGTTATGGCCCGACCCACTTTGTCTTTCTTTTGTCAACTCTATAATTCTTCTACAGCAACAAAATTGGCGGGGTTCAATGGACCCACCCAAAATCGGTTTCCAAGTGCAAAATTATCATAATTAACGGTTAAAATTCTTAATTTTATTATGGATAAGTATTGAGTTCACTGGAAATAATTTTATTTTCGATGACTGGAAAAATCCTCTATCCAAATACAAAATAAAAATGTATTTACAGTATTATGATACTTCTCAATTTTGAATTTTCGTAATTAAAATAAATAAAGTTGAAGAGAGACCCATACCCAATCAAGCATGGCGGCTGCGGTTTATGCATTTATGCAAAGGGTCAAGTTCAATTTCAGTGTCTCTGTATTCTCAAGTCTAAACAAACAGGCACTTACTAGACTTGATGGGCTCTTTGTGCCCTTCTGAAATAGTTTAGAAAGAAACAACAATATACAGTTGCAAACCACCAAGGGTTCCCTCAATCAGGGGTCATATATGTGACCAAAGGGTCGGGTTACTTGTTAATTAACATTTTCCATACAAGGGCAACAAATTTCAGCTACAAGAAAACCAATTATGGGCTGCATAGTCCTTATGTATCACTCATTTTTATCTTCTCTGCTGGAGACTTCAGCAGCTTCTTTAGTGACTCAACTATGCTAGCAAAAGATGGGCGTTGATCAGGGTCACTGCCAGGTAAATAAAGCACCAAAGCAATGCTTAGAAATATAGAAAAGGCAGTAGTTAGCAAAGCAAAATAACACAGGAATTATGCTGAAATTGGTAATACAGCTGCACAGGGGATCTATATAGACTATAGTCTTCAGGTGAGAGCTGAAATGAGATGCTAAAATCAATATTTAACTAGTCAACGCTCGTAACAAAGTATCACTTATTCTACTTCACGGAAGTTTAGCCTGACTGTTTAATTCTTGGCTTATCCTTACCCAACAATCCCCTAAATGAGTATGCACTGTTCAGACATTGAGCAGGAAGATTCCTACCTTCTAAAGCCAGTAGAAAAACCAATGATGTTTCAAAGTTTATTATACATATAGAGATCCGAAATTCATGTCCACTATGAAAATTCTCTATAGGATTTCGAAAATTTTGAATTCCCTCTTCGTGAAACCCTATCAGAATGCAAGTGAAATTCACAAATAAATTTTAATCATGGAGCCATACGATACTTTTTTGGTCAGAAGTCACAATTATTAATACATGTATCAGCGTTCATAGAACACCCAAAAACAAATTAGACATTTTTTTTTTAATAAAATTGAACCAAATGGCACAAACATGCTGACAATTTACCACAAAATATAACATAACCAACACTTACTCAGCCCAACAAGATTCCATGAGGGAGACCAATACTGGGGAGATGTTCGCAGGGATAACAAGCCTCCTGTTCTGAAAAGCAACAGCTCCAACCACCTGAGAGTTCACATCATGATGAGAATATTTTGGAGGATCCATTATGTCAAGTAGTTGTTTGAAATATGCAAGTCATGCATACCTCTCCATTACATGTCCTTTTTAAATTAACAATTTCTTGCAAATGATCCTTACTACTGTATAAATAAACAAAAAAGGTAAAAATACTTGGCTTCAATATTTACAATTTAGAGCATAAATCCTCATCAAGTTTACCTGCGCAGGGCTAAGTCCACTCCATGGTTGTTGCATGGTCACAAGTTCCCACAGGATAACTCCAAAACTGTATACGTCAGATTTCTCATTTGAAGGTTCTCCACGAAGAAATTCTGGAGCCATCCATTCAGGCTAAAAATAAAATCAAGAAAGTTACACACTTATTCAGATTGAGGTAACATGAAGTAAAGTTCAACCATGAAATATTGAAAGAATGACAACTTTCAATATTAAGGAATTTTCTTCTATATCCAGGCCAACATGCAAAATCTACCAAGTCCAGATGCAAGAAGGTAAGTTAACTGTTCCTTAAAGCAAACCTGAAGATGCATATTTCCCCATCCAGGAGTCTGAACCAAAATCAAACAATCGACACTCATACATCAAATCAGACAATCAATCATCTAGCTAAAACATGATTGTATCATTGATCTTAGCAACATGTTGTAAGGGAAAGGTTAATCAGAACTAACAGTTTTTTTGTCTACATGAATCAAGATGCATCACAAATAGCTTACTAGTTCAAGTATTGAACTCTATTTCAAACTTAAAAGTGCTACACCAAAAGAAAAAGAAGTTGACTATTCATAAGTTAAATTGGAAGAGGACTATAAGAACACCAAGTTTATGTGACTAAGCTTATGAAAACAGAGAGAGACTTAACTGTTCCAGCAACAGATTTTGATGATATGAAAGTGTTTGCCTTAAATCTGGACAATCCAAAATCACAAACCTGGGCATGAAATGAAAAAGAAATCATCTACTTGCACAAAATGCTTAAAAATCTAATAATAAACTGCTAAATTAGTTCCAGTCCACCTTCACAGTCCAATTCTTGTCCACTAACAAGTTTGGGGATTTGAGATCCCAGTGCACAATTGGAGGTTTCAGACAATGGAGGTAATTGATCCCTTTAGCCTGCAATCAGTTATCAGACAAATGATATATCATGCAAAGATAATTTATTACTGTAATAAAATAATAAAATCTGGCACAAACCACATCCAAAGCCATCCGTAATCTTCTTCGATGATCCAAAATTTCGCCAGGTGCTGGCCTATGTATCAGGCGGTATAAACTACCTCTGTCACAAACGTACCAGGAAACATCCACAGACATTCAATTCTTTGTGCAAGAAAGTATAATATTATGGTTAACGTCATAAGAAGTTGGTTTTCTTACCTAGGCAAATACTCTGTCACTATCGACAGGTGGGGGCGTTTTGTAACTGCACCCATGAAGAGCACCACATTTGGATGGCGAACACGTTTCATTATTGCAACCTAAAGCAATGTAAATAACAACTTGAATATAACTAACTTCTTTTCTCCCCTTTAATAGACAAGGTAAATAGGAGAGAGTTTCATAGAAAAGAGTTCAAAATCTTATTATGCTCAAACTAGTATTGAACAAAAGAAGCATGCAAGTTTCAAGAGACACAGCGACACAAAAACCATGTGATGTTGGGATTGTTATAACACACAACTGACTTGATTAATTAGAGTTTATGGCAAACAGCAGTAATATTTTAGCTGGAGAAATACGGGGTCTGTAACTTAATACAAGAGAAATATTTTCGCACACCAAGTTTTGTACAATGGGGGAACAAATCTGATCTCTACAGAAACAGGTGGGTCCAGTTAAAAGTATACACGGGTCCAGTGTGCACCCAATTGAACTAAGATGCTGCCATGCATGCAGGAGTGAAAGAGGTTTGCATATTTAGTCGTGCAAAATTGCAAATAGGATAAATCTTGCATTGAAAACAACAACGAAAGCTAGAGTGAGCCAGCGCCCGAGGGGTTTTGGGTAATTTGGAGAAGGTCATAAGTTCTTCAAAGAATCTTGGGATAAACCACCCAAAAACTAGTTCAAAGGGTTGGAGTGTCCAACACGCTCCCTCACACGAGAGCCCTTTGGGCTTGAAGCGTGGACAATGCAACAGGCTCCCTACCTGTGCTAAGAAACTCCACAAGAGAAAATGGGGGACGGCGAGACTCTGATACCATGCAAAGAACCTTGGGATACACTATCCCGAAAGCTAGCTCAAAGGGTGGGAGTGCCAAGGCCTTATAAATTCCACAATAGTTGCTCATACAACCAATGTCGGACTATATATATCAACAAGTTCAAACTTCTGTATTGCCATTATAGTAAAAATAAAAAATAAAACACAATGGATCAGAGTCTAGCACCAAAATAAGTTGCCAAAATTAGCATTAAATACATGGATGTAAAATATTATTATCCACTTCGTCCTTCATATTGTCAAATATAACAATACCAAAATAATAAAATACAAAATGTAAACTACCGACTTCTTAGCAAATAATTGATGCAAAAAGACTATGAGTGTCTTTCGTTAATAAATGTCAAAATTTTCTTCAAGAAGATGAAACAATTATCAGATATTCAGTGTGTTAGAAACAAGGCAATTAGCATGACAATTGTCAATTGGGAAACCAAGAAAACAAGGTGCAAGAACATTAATAAGACAGAGATATGGCTAGCACTAGCACAAAACAAGACAAGAAAAAATAATAAAAGAAATAGAAGTATTTTTTATGAAAGAGAAATTTGTCTAAGACAGAAAAGGACCAAGTACAACAAACTAGACAGAAGGAGTACATTCTCCTGACGAGGATAATTGATTATCAGTTAATATGAAGGGAAAATATTTTCTCCTTTTAAAGTAGACCCCACTTATACTATGAGTCACTAGTAGGAGAAAATATTTTCCCTAATATGTATGCTTACCTCTCAGTTAACATAATCCAAATCATAAACGATGCAATAAAATGCACCTCAATACATTTCCTCATGAATACAAACCTCTCTCAGAAACTCCTTCAACTGATCATCATGGAAATCCTGATCTGTTAAAACCTTGACAGCAACATCCTGCAATTTAAAAAATAAATGAATTCAACAAAACAGAAAAAAAGAATGTATAGGTTGTATCAAAAAAAAAAAATCCATAGAGCCAACATAAGATGTTTCAGTAGTTAAATATAATACAATTAACTTGTCGTGGTGGCAAAATATCATTCACCCAATTTTACTTAAAACAGACAAAGAAATTACACAATATGAATATATCAGAAAGCAACATTATGTACTCAAATGTGCCTATTATACAGAAAATTCACATGATGAAAAGAAGTGCATATTAACACTTACTGATCCATGCCATTCAGCACAGTGCACTGTCCCAAATGAGCCTGCATAGTGAAAAGGACAGCTAGACTTAAGAGTTATCTAATGAGGAAACAAGTCAATAACCTAAGTTATGTGTACTCAAAAAAGAAGAAACAGGGGAAGCAGAAAAAGTACCAGCACCAACACGCTCTTTGATTCGTAAATCATCCCATGATATCTCAAGCCAGTCCATTGCAAGTGATGGTTCAAGATTCAGAAATTTGGGAATATTCCCAGCTGGTAAACAGTTCTGGTTTTCAATTCTTTTGTCTACCTGTTTCGGATCGGACTGGCAGGATGAACTGAGTACAGATTGTTTGAAAGTACATTTTACCACAGAACATCCAGTTACGATGATGTCATTGTTGGAAGTTTCTTGCACTACAACTGCATCTTCAACAAGTCTGGGATATTCATGTAATGATGCTTTAGTGGTTGGATGGTGAGCTTTAGAAACATCTTCATGGATGGTAGGCAAAATTGAACCTAGAACTGCACATTCCTCATTATTCCCTTTTAAACCAAAAGGAATTACAGGTAGTTCTGTTCCTTCACAGGTCTGATCAACTGAAGCATAAATGGAGCCCTTATGATTTTTCAGCAAATCAGTTTCTTTAACTTGTTGATCTTTATGTCCATAGTCTGCAGATCATCAAATAACAGCTAAGACCAACTTTAAACAAGAAATCTTCTTTGCTAGTTATAAAATTTACTAAAACAAAACTATGAGAGCCTAGGTTGCCCTGTCCCCAAAGGGTTAAAATCTAAAATTTCAGAACAGGGCATGCTCCACAAGCTAGAGAAGGAGGCAAAAAGCTTAACAAAGCATTAAAATGTATTTGATATGGAAAAGTTAGTATTTAAACCAGAGGTAAAATACAAAAGAAAGACCACTTTTGCAGTGAAAGAAAGACGAAACATCTGGCTCGAACTTGATTTGATAACGCAAATAGCTCAAGGCATATAAGTACACACAGTGGTCGTGTGCATGTGCATCAGTTGAACAACTGATATATTTTTAGAAAGTATAATTGATACAAAAGAAAACAAGTGGAAATATATAGGCCCTACTACAAAAAAGTTTATGTAATATGCATCTCGAAGGTCCAAGACTATACCAATGGCTACACTGATTCTATCGTTGAACTTGAAATTGAAATACTAATACATAATTTGGACATCAGCTTTCCAGGTATGCAAAGCTCAACTACCTGAATGTGGATGACTTCCAGGAATAACAGAACTCCGGTTGAAACGTATAGATGGAGAATTTGTTGCACCATCCATATAAGGTGATTGTGATTCTTTTAAATGAGAAATTTGAAATGGTGAAGGCATCGAAGAAATATATGCTCCGTTAATTGAGGAATCGGGCCCATGGATATTTCCTGGTTCCCCAACTAGGTCGACTACGTATTCCCTGTTGAATGATAAATCATTAAAAAATACGATGGAAAATATGAAGCAAATGTCAGAAGCTTGCAAACTTATCTACAAGTTATCAGTCGTATTCCAAAGTCCTCATATGAGCAAGCAAAAAAGAAAGATCAAATGATACAACGTATGGATCAACACAACATGTTGAAGATGCTTAAAGCCCTCTAAATCAAGATGAACACAAAAAGATAACAAACAAAATTAACAACAAAAATTCAGGGGGGAAAACGAAGGAAATATGGTCAAAACTACTGAAGGGATACATGTAATAATGATCGACCTAGAGCGTAACCACTTAGGGACAATAGACGTTCGCATTGAAATTACTACCAGAACATAAAACACAAATATAGCAATTGTGCCAACCTTGGGAGCTGCTTGTCGTCTTTAATCTGGACTAGACAAGAGGATCTATGATCTGCAGCACAATACTTGCAACCTCGAGCTATGCGACACGGCAAACCTATGTAATCTGCCAATCTCTGCATGCGAAAAGCCAAAGTAACGGTGAATTACTAATCTGACCCCAGGCAACATAAATGCACCCTTGTCAGGTATCCATTCATGCTCAATAATATTCTTATGCAACAGAAGTTTTCTTTAATAAGAAATAATTCAAGAAACATCTTAATACTTCACCTTGAAGAGAATCGCCCGATGCCTACAAAGCCCAGTAGATAGGCTACCAATGGGAAGCACAACACAATTGTGAAAATTCCTCAACCTCTTACTAACCATATTCCAGCGCTTGTGGAGATCTCCTTGCTCCTCCGGGAATGTACCCCTTCATAAATCCAAAAATAATAATAATAAATAAATAATAGCAAAAAATGTCGATATTAAAGTACTTGAAATTTCAAGAACATTGGAGCAGGCAACAACAAGACAAGAGACAGTTATATATATATATATATATACACACATTACCCCATATATATAGCAACAAGTTTTCCTAGTTGTTCCACCAACACCAAGGTGTTCTCGGAAGCAGAATACAACTCTTGTGCTTTATCTTGAAGCAGCTTCAGCCGAGAGTCCACGTGTCTATCAACAAGCACCACCTCCATAGATGTCTCGCTGGGTTCAACAGCTTTAAGCGCTATCAAAGTAGGTATCCGCCTACCTTCCTCTACATCATTGCACATCCCCCACAGATACGGATTCATCCCCAATATGTTATAAAAACCATCAGATATCTTGTCCGAATACGACAAGCACCCACTCACCTGAAAAAATAAAATAAAAAATAAAAATGATGATTAGTTAACAATGAGAATCTTGTTCCCTCTTAAGAAAGAATGCAGTTGTACCATACCCATAGACGATAAGAAACAGATTCATCATCCCAGGTCTCAGTGGTCCCAGTGAGAACAGGCTCAGTCACGAGATTAGCCAAACAAGTGAGTTTCTTTGCCAACGTAAGCTGCAAGATGTAGCTTTCTTTACACTTGTTCGCTAACTGCTCTTTGTTTTCTTCCTCATGCTGCCTCCTCGCTGTGGTGGTGGAGACCCCAGACGACGACGTTTCCTCCTTAATGTCGCTGGAAAAATTGCCATCCAACGTCGTCCCCGAAAACAAGCTCCCTGCATAGCTACTCCCGCTCGATAACCTCTGAAGCGAAACCTGCCGGTCAAAACTCCGGTCGACGGAAGTTTCCTTGACGTTAAGGTCGCGGTCCTCCTCGGAGTTGAACAAGCGGCGGTGGTGGCGGGAATAAGGTTTGAGGTGGTGACTGGATTGATGTCCTTTTTTGTCGACCAACCAATCGCAGAAAGCTGCAATTTGGTTGTGTTTGGTTCGAAACTTGTCACCGGCGGCGAAAAGGTCGGATTCTAACGAGTTCTTACCTGACGAGACAACGACGTCGTCTTTGGTTGGATCAGCAGGAGTAGTTGATGATGAAAGTGGCTTTTTCGGAGGGTCGCTTTCAACGCCGAAAGTATTCGATTTAAATGAGTTGACGATTTTGTTCTTCTCGTGATCTAATAACTGTTTCGAAGATTCATCCAATCCTCGCTCAGGGAACTGACGCGGGAAAAAGTAAGTGGTTCTGTGAGGCATTTTCGCTCACCACTTGTACTCAAAAGTCACGAGCCTCTCGCGCCACTCACGTGCAAAACGAGAACTGCTTTCCGTCCTCACCTTCGCCGTCGCCGTCGTCGCTCTTCTTCTCCTCCTCAACTCAAATATTCGCAATATGCTGCTGTAAAACAGTTCAAATGTAAACCATGTATAATTATAATAGGAAATCAAAATGCGTTATACTTTGTCTGAATCCGAAAATAAACCACTTCAGGAAAATAAACGCCGATTGAGCACCTGAAAACCGCTTTGCGTCCAGTAGGACGTACGGTTCCAAACGCGATTTAATTTCTCGTTGCGGAACTGAAGAGGAAGCGTAATACACTAAAACTAAAAACGAAACACACTGATTTCAGGATTCGAAGGCTATGGAGATTTAGAAGGAAGAGAAACAGGTGCAAGTGAATGAGAGAGAGAGGGAGTTGTAGCCTTGTAGGTGGTGGGAAATGGAAATAATTATTGGACGATATGATTTTGAACTATTACACTATTTAATATCAGATTTGAAATACTCAATAATATTAACTCTACAACTTATATATTAACAGAATTATATTATTAATATATCTGACAATAATATTCAGTATTGTGAAGAATGCCGGTGGCATGGGTGCACACTCTCCCTATTGAGGCGACACGTAAATTTGATGACCAAACATTTCAAGACACGCAAGGACTAAGCTGCAAACTGCGCATGGGTATAAAGTCGTACGACTCTGGAACCGCATGTTTCTCTTTACTGGTGTAAATAGGTTAGATTAGGTTAAGCTTTAACTTAAATAGGTCAACTCAAGCGTATGTAAAAAATATTTGGTCTGTCCTATTAGTTTGTGTAGCTCCAAATTACAAATTTGGCTTGACCTATATCTAAAAAATAAAAAACCTTGACCTAGGTCAATTAGCCTGTTTAAGTTTATTAAACATTCAACAATTAAAAAAATAATTAAAATAATATAATTTTATTATTCAAATTTATTAAAATAATAATTTTATTTATTTTATTTAAAATTATAATATAAGCCGATCGTAGACTTATAAATTCTATCTATGATGCACGGACACGGACACGGGACACGACACGACACGACACGCCGACAAATTAATTCTAAAAAATGTTATATTTAGACACGTTGGGACACGTTTTGATATTAAATAAAATTCTAAAGCAATCATTACAATAGGTATGGTATGTTTAAAAAATAATTAAAATTCATATGAAAAAATATAGCAAAAAAAATAAAATAATAAAATCAAAAACACATTTTTATCAAAGTATACCGTGCAAGAAAATTAATGAATTTATTCTTCAAATAATAGGATATTCTTATTATAGAAAATCTTGTAAATATTAACGTGAGATTGATATAACAAAAATGAGTAGAAATAGTTATCCGAGAAATTAGTAGAAAACACAGAAGAAAAAAATATGAATAGATACAATTCAGAATCTGAGTTGTAGGACACTAATTGGCTGCACAAATACACTAACCCAAGTTCTCGCATATGCCGAATATTCATTCGCTCACTGTTCTTCCAACTCCCAAACGCAGGTGAATATGCAAAGTGCCAAAAATCTAAAGAGAAAAGTGAATTCAAATTAAAAAGAAAAAAAAAAGAACAAAATTCGAGAATGGGAAGTGGAAGTAGAGTTCTGCTTTCACACTTCTCAACACCATCTCTATCTTTCACTCAACTCAGATTCAAATCTGTTGCACTTTCACCTCACTCACCAGCTAGGGCTTTTCGCATGGCCTCATCCTCACCGTCGTCATCGGTTAGCACCACTCCTCACGTTCCTGACAACATGCTTGTCTTTTCCTTGGTGACCTCCTTCTTTTTACTTTCCTCCACCGCCAACGAAGAAGAAAGCCTCAGCGTGAGAGAGGATCGGAGGAGAATAGGGTTCAGATTTTCTGATTTTTATTAAATATTTTGTATTTTTTTAATTGTAATTTTTTTTTTTACAAAAAAAATGCAAAACGTGTCCCAAAACGTGTCCATTTAGGTTGATCGCGTGTCGGATACGGTCAAATTCGCGTGTCCCACTAGTCAACGTGTCCTAAAAAGTCAACTACGTGTCAGACGCGTGTCCAAACGTGTCCGAACGTGTCTATGTCGGACACGTGTGTCGGACACGCATTTTTCCCCTAAAAGACGTGTCCGTGTTTAACAGAATTCTATATGTATCAAAAAGCCTACGAACCTATCGCGCACTATCGAACCTCGAGACATGAGACATATAAGGAAACCCTCCACCCAAAGGAAGTTATTTGCAAAACGATTATTTAGTTATTTTTTATTTTTTTTATCCTGGTTGGGTTAAAAACTCCAAAATAGACTAAGGTGGTGTTTGGTTGGGAGCCTTTCAGCGGATATCTATCTTTCTCAAGTATGACTTTTAGAAACATCATGTTTGACTATCTTTCACCAAAAACCCATCTATCTAATTTGTATGGATTTATAAGAAACATAGATATCCGCACTGTTTATAAACCCAGTTTGAAGGTGAGATTTTTCGGAAAACCGGTTATCTGGCTTTTAATGCACTGTTGATTTCATAAAGTTACCTAATTTTTCCAGTAAAGTTTTTCCTCACCAAACAACTTTTTTTTACATTTTTCTATCTATCTCTCTTTATCTATCTTTCCAATCATTTCTCTATCTATCTCGTTTCCCTACTATTCCAAAAACTTTTCCTGAACCAAACGCCCCCTAAGTGAAAACAACATGAGTTCTATCAAAATCATCGGAATCAGTTAAATACAAAAGATTTATATCAGGGGAACGGGCCACAAAAGAGCAAAAATCTGCTTGATTCATATTGACCAAAGGAAGGTTTGAGTGTCAATTTGCATAACAGTTTCCTTCTCTATACGTGTGTTGTATCTTAACTATCCAATCTTTGTCCATCCATGCATGTATGCGAGAAACAAGATGAGACTCACAGGCTGGTTCATCCCTTGTGGTGAGCCACGTAAATGCTGTTTTAGAGTCACTTTCAATAATTACTCTTCTCCAACCATATTCCCAAGCCATTTATATTCCCTTCAATATTTTCTATAATTATGCTACTATGGCACTACAATGGCCAATTCTATAGCAGAAACCATTGAGTCATTTTCCCACACAGTCCCTTATCACTCCCCCACAAGTCGTAGCCAATCTCGGATTATTTTTGGCAGCAGCATAAGTGTTTACTTTTATCCATCCCTCATCCGAAAATTTTCAAGAAACCGAAATCTCCTTTATACCCCCATCAAAATCACCATACTTAAGACTTGTAACAGCATCCCAGATTTCTCTCTATTGACTTAAAACCAAATTACAGTCATATGCAAAGCGATTAAGTACCAACCTTTTACTTACAAAAAAACAAACTAATAACCTTTTAAAAACGATTTATCATTTAACCTATCACACGAAATAAAAGTTATGTTGTGATGGAGCTTCTTCTAGTGGCATAAAAAAGCTAGTTGTGGTGGTATATTAAGAGATCACAATGGATCCTTTTTGGGAAGCTTCTATTGTAATTTAGGTTCCTGCAACCCTCTTGATGCAGAATTATGGGGATTACTGAAAGGTTTGGAACTGCTTTGGGGAACATGATTAAAAAGAATAGAGCTAGAATGTGATTCTAGCCAAGTCATCCAGATGTTAAAGGAGCAGCATGAAGATCCTAGGGACTCTCAAGTCACTAGCAGATTGAGATTATGGTTAAAAGCAGATTGGACTATTCATCTTGTTCATACCAAGAGAGAAAACAACAAATGTGCTCATTGGTTAGCTAAAGCTGGGCAGACTAATAATCTCCATTTCAAGATTTTTAAAGATCCTCCTCCTCAGTTGATGGAACTTATAGTTGCTGATGCTAGAAATATGTTTAGCTGGTTAGTTTCTGATTTGTAATTTCTTTATGTTTCTGGGGCTTAGCCCCTCTTTATTTACAAAAAAAAGAAAAGAAATAAAAGTTATGTGTTTATTTTGTTTTTTGTCAAAAAAAAAATTATATCACATTCACATACAAATAAATGGATTTCACTAATTTTTTCTCTTTTCTTTATAATAGGATCCACTCATTTTTATGTGAGTGTAAAAATAAAATTCTACAGCAAAAATTGAAATATTTTTTCCAAAATATATATATAATAATTTTAAAATTATGTTGTATTGAGAATATTTTGATAAAATTCAAATAACAAATAAAGAAATAAATAAAATTCTTAAAATATTATTTATTAATTTTCTCAATTCCCAAAAATCCAAAATGACATAGTTTTGGGATTGCTAGTTAATCGGAGAATTTACTTTATTTTTTAAAATGAGTTTGTATTTTTTTTCCGGTAAACAAATGAATTTGTATTTAAAATAAGTAAAAATATTTTTTTTTAATTTTGTTGAATTTCAAATTATATTTTATTTGATTACATTAAAAATAACTAGCTTTTATTTATATATTTAAAATTATTTATTAAAATAAATACATAATAAATACATTATTTTAAGGGGGGAATGTTTTATGCGTGTTTCCTTATGTTAATTGACTATATTCGAACCCCAAAATAAATAGACTGAAAAACATTGACCTTTTTTTTGTATACAAAGGTAAAAGACAAAAAGAGAAGCCCAAAAAACACAAAGACCTAATGAATATGACTCCATGAGTATGAGACCGCTCATCTCCATTTTTGGCACCATATTTCCCCAAGAAATCAGCACAGATGTCACCCTGTCTTATTGTACGAGTTAGATGAATTTCTTCCCTGAACAAATCACTGCATTTTGAATTAATAAGACTCTAAATCTCTTGCTTTTTTTTCTCTCTCTTTTTCGGTAACAGCATGTGATGCTTGTTGTGAGTTTTGACTTTATATTGATGTAATGAACGTTGTAAAGGCCGTTTGCTTAGGAATTTTGGGTTGGAGCGTTCATTAATTTCCTTCTTTTTGGACCTCTTTCACTTGGAATGCGTGATTCTATCC